CCAGGTGGTACTGCTGTTTTGGGAAGGAAGTGTTGACACTAAGGATAATGTACACCTGGTTAGGGTTAGTTTTCTATCATCTAGGATTGGGTTTGGAAGGAAGTGTTCAGGCTTGGACATCTCTTTCAGATGACTTTAGAGTTTATATGGGATAGATATGGTTAGGATGAGATATAGGTAGATTATTATATCTTCTTGTGTTTCACCTTAGTGATTTCTAACTATAGACAACTTACACTGTTATAGATCTTTGTATGATGTAACTTACATATGATTTGTATATCACAAGTCGTCTTACTGTGTAAAGTCTTCTCTCTACTTATGATGATGTATGCTATGTTAAGACATTTTGTACACAATTTAGTTTTGTTTCAAGTTTAAATATTTTTTAGGGTAAAAGGGAAATTGTAGGGAGAGAATCAAGTGCTGGCCAGGCTGCCAGGAATCCCAGGTACATTCATGCTGGACCACTTCTGGATTTGCGATTGAAGGCATAATGCAGCTAAAGAACTACTGCCACCTAGTGACATTACAGTGTCATAGCACAATACCTTGTCATGTCACAGGCATAAAAAAACCAATGTACTGTCAGTCACATAAGTCACATCACAGCTATTGTATTATGTGTTAATATTTTATATATTTACTGTAATATACCTTAGTGGCTATTTTAGAGAAAATTCCTCCTGCTTGCTTTTTTTTCTTTTAAGTTAAAATTAAACAGCCACAGGCAGTTCCTTTTCAAAGAATTCCAGAGGAAGCTTTGTGATCATAGATGGTCACACTCCAAATGTTACTGCCCTGAGGACCCTCCAGAGGACCTGATACAGAAGTGGAGTGCAGTGGTGGTGAGCTTGATCCTTGGCATCAGATAATGTGTGTGTGTCTTCATTTTAATCAAACAGAAATAAGCTTAGAAATTTTAAGTGTATAATTTAAAATATAAAAGTAAATAATAAAATTCAGATTAAAAGTGTATGCTAATATAATGTGTTTCTGTTTTTAAATACAGTCAAAAATTATTCTTAATAGCTCATAGGGTTAAAAGACTTCACTATGCTAAACTTTAATGCCTGAAGAAAATGTCTTCATAAATTTAGAAGAGTCTGAGTGTGTCATGTTTACAAAGTCTACAGGAGTGTACACAAGGTCTCCCATCTTTATGTGCATTCCTCCCTCATTCACCAACTCACCCAGAATGACCTATAGTCCTGGAAGAGCATTGGCCTTTCACTATGTGCCAGTTTTCAAACTGGGTTCCATATCCTCACTCTGATTAGTTCCACGAGGACTTAACATTGTGCTATCTATGACTGCCTATCATATTCAGGACAGCAATACTGCACACAGCTTTAGCTTAGGAGTCATGGACTAGATCATGCAGCTTAGATAGTTGGCAGACTGTAGCACTCAGATTTATAGAAAATTGAAATCACTTAAAGATATCTTCTTTGAGTTTATTCCTGTGGCTGAGTGAAACACAATCAATCACCCATCCAGGAAAACTATGCATTTATCCCTACCCATGTTGTTCTTCAACTCCAACTTGGACAGAGCCCCCAGATTTGCTTTGGCCAATTAAATATGAGAAGTTGTTATGCTTCCCTCTGAAGTGAAGGCACTTAGGTGACAGTGATTCATTTCCTTCTGCTGTGGCAGCTAGTGATTGTAGAAGAAAATTCCAGTAAGGAGGTGCTACAATAGGAAAGTAGCCTAATGATTCTCCAACAGAGACAATGGTGTCCTGGAGAGCCCCCATATACACTTTATTTGAGCAAAAGGTGAACCTCTGTTGCATTGAACTAGTGGTATTTTGTCATTTTAGCAAAATATAGGCAGGTAACACCATGAAAACAGAGCCAGGAGAAAGTTGTAGAAATTGTGATCTAAAAAGTGAGGGGGAAAGTAGAACCTGGGGCCCCTTCTCTGTTTTGTGCTCACCTCTGCAGTGATCCTCAGCTGTGGTAGAAGTGTCATATGCCATTGGGAATATCCAGGTGACTCACCAAAAAAATTCTATAAGAAAGTTTAAGAACCATAAATAGCCCAACATTTTTCCATCCTGCAAAAACCTTCACTACTTTACCTGTCAAGTCAGAGATGGATGTGGTGGTAGAAGGTCTCAGTAAATTGCAGCCCTAAGTATTGTCTCAAACAATCATTTTTCACAAATAACCCAACCTCTATGGAACATACATAGGCTCTGGAGGACCAGAAAATATTACAGCAGCTGTGAAAGCTGTATATAACAATTTCTTCAAACCCTGCATTATTCTACACGTAACTGAAAGATGAGAGCCATTAATAAAACTGTTGACACTGAAGAGGCTCTGAAAGATTGACTGTCTCTGATTATATTCCTGCTTACAGAGCAGGTTCCCCCCTTTCCTCCCCTCTAGACCTGTGTAGAGCAGACAAGATCCATCTTTTATCTACCTGGAACTGGGATTTACAGCATGAGATGCTGAAGTACACATCTCGCTTCAATAGCTGCCAGACCCAGCACTTAACACAAGTACACACACGTGATCATGGTTTCTTAATACTCGGGGCTTTAATCCAAAAAAGCACTAGGTCTTTTTTTTCCTAGTGATATTTCTTGTGATACTAAAAGATGAAGGTACGGATAAGTGAGTCCATACTAAAGGGATGAAATGAAGAAAAAACAAGACAGTGAATTTGAATGGAGGATAGATAAAAGACGAGTGAAGAGTAAAAGATATACAAATGGGAGCTCTGGTACAGGGAGAGAGGGGGAAGGAAGGGAGGGAGAGAGGGAGGAAGGGAGAGAGAGAGAGACAGAGAGAGACAGAGACAGAGACAGACACACAGAGACACAGAGACACAGAGACACAGACACACACACACACACACACACACA